TTAGATATGCCAACCATTGGGCTCCATCCCAGACCTACTGAATGAGAAACTCCAGAATGAGGCTCTTTCATAAGTGCTCTAACAAGCCTTCCAGGCAACCCTCATAGTGCTATAGGTTGAAGACCACTGTCTTAGAGTAAGGTTGACAAGCTTCATTGTAGGCCTGCCTATCTCTGTCTCAGCCACTCAACTCTGCCCAGTGTTAGGAACATATTACACAAGGCATATACATGAATGGACATGGCTGTGTGCTAAATAAGACTTTATTTACAATAACAGATTCAGGGTACAGGAGATTGATTGATCCCACCCAGGTTATGGCTTTGATCTTTTTATTCACTAGTGTAGCAAGGAAGTTTGATGTGATCAAAATCTGATAGGGTTACCTCCATATGTCTAGTTTTTTTTGGGGGGGTGGGGGAGGGAAGGGGGTTGAGACAGTATTTCTCTGTTCAATAGCCCTGGTTGTCCTGGAACTCACTCTGTAGACCAGCCTGGCCTTAAACTCAGAGATCCACCTGCCTCTGCCTCCCAAGTGCTGGGATTAAAGGCGTGCTCCACCACAGCCTGGTTCACATGTCTTTTTTAAATCAGGCAAAGTTGTTTTCTCTCCTTCTTTCCAGGTTAGTGGGAGGTAAAGCCACTCTTCAGCTCTTGAGTGATTATCCAGACATGAATAGAGTTGTCCGTGTAGCTGGGTTCTGGTGCTCATTATTTGAGTTATATTTGTTTGCCTGTTGTGATGGACTCTGATCAACCTCCAGCTCCCTGAGTCAATGAGAAGATGGTTTTTGAGTCAGACAGATGTGAGTTTGGAAGCTAGTTTTATCAGTTTCATAAATGTGGTAAGCTATATAGATGCTCCACGCCCCAGTGTCTCCAGCTGTTAAAAAGATAATAAAAGTATGCACACCACACAGTTATCAGGAGTGGGACTTTTTGAATTTTAGTGCGCGCGCACGTGTGTGTGTGTGTGTGTGTGTGTGTGTGTGTGTGTGTGTGTGTGCCATGATGCACATCTGGAGGTCAGAGGACAACTTTTTGGAGTCAGCTCAGGGATCCAGCTCACACCATCAGGTTTGCAGAGCAAGTACTTTTATCCATTGAGTCATCTTACTGGCACAAGGAGTTGTTCTAATTAATTACCTACCGACATGTGACAGCTCACCCCAAAATTAGGAGCTTAAATCAATAGCAGCTGGACGGGTGTTCTGCTCCAGTCCTGTCATCTGTCTCACATGGCGGCCAGTTGGTGCTGGCTGGCTGAGGGTCAGCTCATCCGGGACTGTCATTGAGTACCGTGGCTCTTGTCTTCACGCCATCTCTGTATTCCTTGGTGTTTCGCAGCATAGCATGGTGGCTGGCTTCCAAGAGGGAGCGTTCCAAGAGCACACAAGCTTGGAGGACCGCACCCCGTGTTACTTCTTCAACAAGTCGTAGAACCAGCTCAAATTCCAGGCTCCAAGAAATCTGTACCTACCGTTAGGCCACTCTAGGAAGAGAGGAAATTAATTCTAAGGAATGCTTGTCAGGGAGACTGGGCTGTGGCAGGTCACAAGTGTTTGTGTTTGCATAGCAGGGGGCAGGGACGCTCTTTCTTGTCACGTGAGAGCCTAGACTCATTGGTGCAGGTGTGTTTCAAGGCTTGTTGGATGTGCTTGAATGGTCACAGGGATGCTTCTTCTCCTCTCTACATGGGCTCTCATAACGCTTTAATTTTTCAAGAGCTCTGTAGGACGAGGACCCTTCATTGAGCCATGGGAGAAAAGAGGAGAAGAGGCCTCTGAAGTGACCATCGCAAGGGTCCTGTCTCCTCTCTGCTGAGCCATGGGTCCTTGACCACTGACTGGAACAGAGCCCTTTTTAGGGGTCGGTAGAGAGAGTCATGGGGCAGGACAGATCATTTCCTTTTTGGGGAGTGAGTAGACCCTAGGTTTTACAATACAGAAAATAAAGATTCCATTTTGATATCTGATGTCAGCAGGCTATGAGGGCATAGCCTGAGCTACAATAAAGAAACACCTGCAAAGGCATGAGCAAATGGTCAGTAGGTGAAACCCTGAGCTAAGTGGCAGGGTCTGAGGCAATAGGGCCTGGTGAGAAGTGGAGAAAACTAGGTCATGAAGGCCGCGTTAGGGGAGATGGAACAGGTGGTGAGTGGCGTCTGTTTCCTCTGGGCCATATAGACCGCGTTGTTTACACATCTTCATTAGCTCAAAAAGCTCCTGAGATCTAAACTCACTGGAAGTTCCTGTTTACTAAACATTGGCACCAACTATTTTACACACTGAAATTAAACACACACACACACACACACACACACATACACACTCACACTTACACATCAGTTGGCAAATTGCTCCTGGCAGTTGACCTACAAAATGACTTGGCAGAGATGTGGGCAATAGATGGTCGCTCTTCCTGAGTGGTAACTCTCCTCACATCAAGATCTCCTCACAGAGCAAGTACGGGAAGGGCACGGGGACAGTGGGCATCAGTAGGATCTTGTGAAGTGTAAGAGTTCCACAATGACACAACCCTTTGTCCTTCTGGATCACGGAGGAGGCGAGGGCACCTCACGGAGTGCTAACCCCCCAAGGTATCATGCGTGAAGTGGTGAATCAGCTGACAAGCTTGCTAGGAAAGCACAGGGGTCCCTGTCTTCTCCAAGGACCGAGGGGCCATTAAAAAGATGCTCTGAGGTTCCTTCAGTAGGTAGCCAGAAATCCAGCATCTGGGAGAGTCTAGATGAGCTGTGGTTGAGGCTGGGTGGGACTGGGAGGAAGGAGCTGGGGAGCTCTAGGCAGGCTCACGGAGAATTTTGACCTCAGAAGGATTAAAGGGAGAGTCAAAGCTTTCTTTGATTTTGTTTTGAAAATTTGAAAGCTGGAGTTTATAAAAAGAAAAGGCCACAGCATCTTCTGATCTCTTCATGACATCCTACTCAGAGGGGGCGGGGCAGGGAGATGCCTGCTCAGAGAGGGTGGGCCTGGGAGACACCCTCTGGATTCTGTTCTATCTTGTGACTCCTTCCTGGGCCCAACAAAGAAGGGCCTCCCAGTTTACTAACTCACAAAATGATTTACCAGCTGCCTCTCCCCTGAGGAGGTAAACAGGCAGTAAAATAAATGAAATTCCTATTCTTTATTACTTGACTCCCATAAATCATCATTCACCCTGGATGAACATTCATCTCTCCAGGACCCCAAAATGTTTAAAATGCTGTTTCCTTTATTTTCAATGAAATATAAGAAATAAGAAATCAATGATGATGTGTTTTAGGGGTAGTTCTGCTAGTAATAGCTGTTGGATTGCAGAAAGTGTGGAGGAGAATGAGATTTTAGGGTCTTCTTGTTTCTTCTGTGGCCAGCTGTTCCTGGGATTAGATTCACAATTAGAACTTTTGGTTCTCACAGGGCTGGATAAGATCACGTAGGATATTATTGGCCATACTTGGTTACTTGTAAAGTCTATCTTGAGCTAAAAGCTTTTTGTGCCCAAATAGGGGACTTTTGTGTGGTGCCAGGGAACAGAGGGAGTGCTATTGTGTCACCATGACAACAAGCATTTGCATTAAGAGCCGGCTCCTCAGGCCACATTACAGACACGTGATCTGGAAAGGGACCCCTTTGAAGCCCTTGTAATCTCTCCCCGAGCCTGATTGTTAATGTCTTCTGAATATAATCATTAACCATGTTCTGTAACAGATAATTACCCACTGGAGATAGCTTTTTCCATCCCTGAGTGCTCTGTGAAATTCACAGAGCTATGCTAGTGTTTCTCTAACTAACCAAGGAACATAAAGCAATTTGGCTTCTCCTTGAAATCTCGGAAAGTTCGCCTTTCAGCTCAAAACCATGGTGTTCCTGCCAATGTCCTGGATATCTGTGCTCCAGGGCTCCCCTGTTTTGGCTTTATCCCCAGCAGGTGCCTCCCCAGGACCGAGGCTCCCGGGCTGTTAGCTGCTCCTCTTTTCCTAGGGACTGGACCAGTGATAGTCTATGCCTCAGGCTTGTTGCGGTCACTCCTCAGGACACAGGGATTTGTGGATTTCTCTTCACCACGTGGTCTCATTTGGGTCTCAGGAAGGCCCTATCTCCAGAAATGAGCCCAAGCTGAACTATAGAAGGATTTTGGCAGTTAGATAAAAGTTAGTAGGGCTGGAGAGATGACTCAGAGGTTAAGAGCACTGACTGTTCTTCCAGAGGTTCTGAGTTCAATTCCCGGCAACCACATGGTGGCTCACAACCACCTTGAGTGAGATCTGGTGCCCTCTGCTGGCATGCAGGCAGAAGACTGTATACACAATAAATAAATAAATAGTGTGTGTGTGTGTGTGTGTGTGTGTGTGTTAGTATTCCCCAGGAACTTGTGAAATAGGTCCCTCTGCCAAAGGGAGCCATTTCCCTTACCTCTGGCAGAAAGAACATGGCTGGTTGCGTATCAAAGCCCACACTGGCCTGCAGGCTCCCTCAGGCCCTAGCACAAGCACCTTTTACACATTCTAAGTCTGCTCTTGCGCCTTGCAGGAGCTGTCTGCTTCTTTCTCTCTGCTCTGGACTCTCCCAAATGCTTCTGGCTGTTCCCTCTCTCTTAGAACAAAAAAAAAAAAAAAAAAGAAAGAAAGAAAAACTTCCTCCTAGTAATAGAGTTTCTTTGCTGTGCCCCTGACCCAGGGATTTCAGGTTTCTCTCTTGGTCCTCATTTGCCAAGGAAACCCCTCCTGCACAGGGTAAGGCCCCCCAAGTTCCTACAACCCATCTTGTCAGAGAGGGATGTGCACAAGTTTTCGGGGAAACTAGAAGGAGAAGTTTAAAAGAGTGCAGGAGAGAAAAGGAGAAGAGACAGTTCTGAGCCCTAAACTGACAGAGATCAGCCTTCTACGCCGTGTTCCACGGTCACCCAGGCCTTGCACTCCGATTCTCTCATGGAAGTGGGGGCGTGGAGTCTCCAAGACAACAGCACACTCATGTGTTTAGAATGTTATGGGCAGGAGGGTATGGGTTTCATAGGCAAGGCCCCAGCTGTGAAACGGGACGGCTTTATGATCGATCGGAGTGGGATCGTGAACGTGAGGCAGCCTCACCCATGCCCTTGCCCCCTTCACCTTCCCTTGCCAATAAAATGTAGACGAAGTAAGCTTGCTGAACCACGTGGCACCAGCACCTCTTAACTCCAAGTCCAGACTCGTGGCAAAACGGTCATACTGGTGTTGGCGGTGGGACCAAAGTTTGTAAAGTTGTGATGAGAGGAAGCAGGTCCAGGCTCTGCTCTCATGGGGAGAAGACCTAGGAAAGGAGGGGAAAGGTCAGTCTGGGGGATAAGGGATACGGTGAGGTGAGGGGCTCTGCGGTGCTGAGTCTGTGTGTGCGTGTGTGCGCGCGAGCGCGCGCGTATGTGTGCATGTGTGCGTGCGTATGTGTGCGTGTGTGTTATGATATATGTGTGTATTCCTAAAATACGTGCATGTGAGCATATGCATGGCTGCTATATCCACATATGGATGCACACACGTTTATGAGACACTTAGATCTTTCAAATGGCGCTGGCTGGACTTCCACTGTCCCTTCTTTCGGTTCCACCTGCTTGTCTGCCACTAGAGCACGGCAGTTTTCTTCGCCCTCCCTCCGAGAGAGCCGAGAATGGGGTCAGTCCCCTCCTTGTGTGAACTCCAGGCATGCTCATTTCACAACGAGGGCCCCCGCCACACAGAAACCGATAGGCTTCTCCCGTGGGTGCCCAATAGCGAAACAAATTACTTATATCTCTTCCTTATTTAGCAGGCTCACACTCTTACTAGCGGTGGGTCTGAATCTGTGACATGTATGGGAGTATTATTATTACGTATATTAAGCTTTGGTGGTTTGTGTGAGTGCTTGTGGTAAACACCCCCCCCCTCAATTTTTAAACCATACTACGGATGGGTGACGTCATCTGGTCACATTTCAGAAGGCCCGAAGCGGAGAATGAGCTCTTAACATATAGAATAGATTTTCTCCAAGTGGAGGGTGGTCAGAGAGCTAGCATTGAGGCTGCCTGTCCTTATACACAGTGGGCATTTCGACAAACTCCCTTGTCATAATTGACGGGACACAATTTTCAGGGGTGAATGAATGGCAATGTGCTAGGGCAGGTGGACAGCAGCTGCTGTGTTTGGCCTGTCCTTCCCTGTTCCGCGTTAATTTGACTTTTTTTTTTTTTTTTTTTTTTTTTTTTTGCTTAGGGTCCTACTAGAGAAGGCTCATTTTAGCCTCTGCCTGCCACATGTCAGGTCAGGCCAGGAATATTCCCTAGCAATGCGGTGTATGCTGGATGGCATGTGTTCCGGGCCAACCGATTGAATCTGATCAGCGAAGATAAACTTGATCCACTGGCGAGATCAACCATCAGCGAGTGTGGCTTGAGCCAGGGAGAAGGCTGCTTATTCGTAACAGCGCAGTGCCTGTGAGATAGGCTGCTCTGCTCTTGTTTGCCTCAGCCAAACAATCGTCCTACTGTGCACACTGGCCCATGTGGTGTGGTCCTGTGAGACGCTGTCATGGCTCTGCCCTGATATCCATTAGATAAGCTGATTAAATCTGCATTAATCATGGGGCCCCGTGCGAGGGCCATCAGTGCTCTTGAACGCTGCCACGCTGATCAATTGTTTTGGCGTGGAATAAATGCATTCCCATCACCGATGGAAGCCATTGCCTGGTGACAGCGGCCTGCTGCATTGCTGTTATGTTTCCAGTAATAAACACTGGGGAACACACTCTGACCACAAACACACATCTGTCCAGACAGCAGAGAGCCAGAGAAACTGAACACTAAAGTCCTTTCTATACCCCACAAGACTCGGTGTTACTGACTGTCCATGGCTTGGTCTTCAACTCTTATCTCTATTTAAGTGCTATACCACCCTGACGCTCACTTTATTTCCTGTCTAGGGTCACGTTTGATAGCCTCTGCCTGGGATGTTCCCCAGGTGTCTGTATGAGTGGCTCTTTCTGGGTACTCACATTTCTCTTTAAATGACACCTTCCCATGGAGACCTTTCTCGACCATCGTCTCACTCCAAACCACACTGTCCTAGTGTTTGTCCTTCATGGCACTTTCCACCTGAAAGTCACTTGCTGGACTAGTGCTTGTCTGTATTCCCAGTCACTAGCAAACAAGTCTGGTGCACAGCCATGCTTAAAATCCTTGCTGAGTCCTTTGGTTTCTATGCTGCACTTGGACAAATCAGTGGAAGTAGGGTTCAGAGGTTAGACCATATCTCATCACCAGAGGACTTCCAGGCTCCCTGTCTGCCTAGGCTTTGAACTGAAAAGATGGTCCTTCCAAGCTGATCAACATTTTTGGGGAAATGGGCCAATTCTGGGCCCCTCAGCTCTGAGACACTGTTTCCAGATATTTGTTTTCCTTTGTGCGTAGAGCTTATTGGAAAATGGGGTGTGCTTGATTGGTTTTTTTGTTTGTTTTCATTTTGGTATTTGGTAGAGTTTTCCACCTTGGAAGTGACAGGAGTAGGCTAGAGCAGTGTATCTAGACGAGGCGCCTTCTGAAGGTTCCAGACTGTGGAACCCTGCATACTTTGCTCATAGCCTGCTAGGACCTCCCCCCCCCTTTGGGGGACCACTCTTCTATTGACCTGTGACCCAATGAATGTTTATAAGCCAGGACAATTAGATTAGTAGTACATGAAGACAGCAACACTCTCCACGTAGTAGTTTCTGTTTAAATTTCCAGATGCGGCTCTTCACACGTGGAAGAACTTGGTCAGGGAGAAGTTCAGTGTGGCAGCATCTCCCTGCAGGTGACAAAAGCGGCTCCTTCACTCCGCACTGGTGAAATCCTCTACCTCTTGCCCAGCATCTTCAGGTTCAGGCACCTTAGAAGCCACGTTACCACCAGCGCTGAAAGGTACCGCACCTTCACACCTTGTGTAAGGCCAGGCCATCTGAAAGGTAGCACAATGGGCTTGGCAGAGAGCAGATGTGAACGCAAGGTTACCGCCATCAAGGGCTGGCCCAGGGTGTTGTCCTGAGACACATAAAAGTCGAGGCTGCTAATTAGAATCGAGGACAGGACAGTCAAACCCACATAAATCCTTCAGCGGAAGTGAGATGTGAATTTCAATGGTTTTGGAGCAATCGTTTCGTTGAAAAAATTACCAATTGCCCTGGCTTCCCTTATTTCTTGCTTTGTAACTCTTCAACCTGCGCCCACGTTGTGTTTGCCCAGTGAGACCCACCCCCGCCCCTCCATTTTTCAGGGAATGAAAACGGTAACTCTCCTTGCTTTCCTTCTCGTTTCTTTCTACAGAAAATTTTCACTTCTTTAAATAGACTTGTAAACAAAAAGATCCCATTTCAAAATAAGACAAAGTTCCTGCTTGCTTAGATGTTTATAGTGATTACATCTTCCTAAGCAATACGAATGCATATTCAGTTGTAAGGTGCTAATTGAATTTCTGAGACAATATGCTTCAAAAATACTGATTTTATTAATTATGTGTTCATTTATTTATTTTTGGTGTCTGTATGTAAGTGTGTGTGTATGTGTGCGTGGGGTGTTGCGCGTGTTATGACACTCATGTCGTGGAGGTCAGAGGACAACCTCAGAAGGTGGCCCAGTTCTTCCACTTTATTTTAAGGCAGTCTTTAATTTTGAAAATTACTTTATGTGTATGGTTGTTGCCTGAGTGTATATCTGTGTACAATATTCATGCCTGGGTCCACAGGGGGCCTCCATCCTCCGCAACTGGCGTTAAGGACAGTTGCAAGATGCCATGTGGGAGATGGGAGTAAAACCCAGGTCCTCTGGAAGGGCAGCCTGTGCTTGTGACTGGCGAGCATCTCTCCTTTGCCCTTGAGTAGCATCTTTCCTGTCATCTCTGGATGGCTGGCCCAGGATAGTCCAGCTGCTGCCTCCCACCTCAAAGCAGGAGCCCTGAAACTAGGCATGTGTGCCACCATCTATTTTTCATTTTAAGTTACATTTTTGTTTTGTACCGTGTATGTGGGCTCTCCTGGGTAACACTTGTGCTTGTAGAAGACAAGATCAGGCCAGGAAACAGGGAGCCTGAGGATTCCTATCCTAGTGATGTGCCAAGCTCTCTGAGCGTGGTAGGTAGGTAGGCTTCCATGGCGATCCTGGGACCATTTCTCACACTCAATGGCCTGACAGAACACCTCAGGAGCTCCCCCACCCCCCCAAGCCCACTCAGTAGGATTGCCTGCGTCCAGGGTTTGTATTTAAGGGAAGACCCTATTTTTCTTTGGTTTTTCATCCCCCTCCAAGACAGGGCTTCTCTGTGTAGCCCCGGCTGTCCTGGAACTCGCTCTGTAGATCAGGCTGACTTCCAGAGATCCATCTGCCTCTGTGTCTGAGCACTGGGATTAAAGGCGTGCGCCACCCCCAGCTGTCATGACCCCCCTCCCCTTTTTGCCTTTCAATCATTCTAAGCCAAGAACATTTAGTGACCTTTCCCAAATGGAAAGTAAGATGTTCAAAGTTCACAGATTTCATCTAAATCAGTTTTCTGGTATGAAAAACAAACACAAATGCCTTCCTGGGAAGAAGGGTGCCAGGGGCCATCAGAAAGGCTCTCGGGGCCTTCGCACAGGTCACTGGGTGATCTCTGGCAGAGGTAAGCAGTACTGATCCTCCAGGCTCCTGAGCAGTATGTGGAGTGCTGTCCCTTAGGCTTGTGTGGCTGGGCGTCCTGCGTTGCTTGCCAAGGGCAGATCCATGCTGGTGGGTGGTGTGCAACCCTGCCTGGCCCAGGCACCTACTTGTTGGGCACCAGGTTGCTGAATCTACTTATAACCCCAAAACTCAGGCGCCTTCCCACAAATGGCTGGGCACCATAGAGATAACCTATGGCTTAACAATTCCCAGCTAACACCTACACTTCCTGGTGAGATCTCCTGCTTTCTCGCATATCTCCCTGCCCCTAACAGTCCCCTGCCTCACTTCCCAGCGTGTCCGGTCTAAAACCTCCACCCCATGGCCATTGCCACATTCCCCTATTTAAGCCTGCACAGAACTTGCATTAAACGGCAGCTTGATCGGAAGGTCTGTCTCTCCTGAGTCTCTTGGCTCATTCATTCCAGGTTCCCGTGGGCTCGAACCCGTTGTGCCCTGCTGGCCAGGGCACCTGCTGTTTGGGCAAAATCGAAGAGCAATTAAAAGACTTTAAGAGTTGGCAATAGCGTTAATTCCTTTGCCGTTTTATGCAAGCAGGGGGATTAATTAGCGCTGGCTCTCTGGTTATCTCTGAGTGCGTGTTTTGGGTTAGATACTCTTTTGCTAGATGACTTAGATTTTTCCCAACTGTGAAGGGCACCTCATGGGATTCGTTTGTGCCTGCCAAAGGCTTGTTGTTTGCCACAGTGTGTTATCCGGGGCTGACACCTGAGTCCTGTTCTAGGAGACTAACTGTCCTAACTTAACAATATAAATCAGAAAGGATTCAGAACGTAAGAGCAGAGGAGGTGGTCACAGAATTTCTTCTGGTTTTTTTTTTCTCCCAATTTCTCAAATGACCATTTAAAAGTCTTACTCTTCTAATCATATTTCCTTGATGTTTCTTTTCCTTTGTCTTAATGCCTTTGCTGGAAAGAAAGAGAGCGAATTCTTTGTAGTTGGGGTATCTTTTAATGAAGCTCAGCGTAGCTGCCCCCCATTATCCAGACCTCTGCAGTACTCAAACCCTACCCTGGGATCATCTCACTTCTTCCTTCTCCCCCTTAAGTCATAATTAGAAGGCTTCTCACTGATACTTGGGTGACCGTGGAAATTCGGGATATCCCATCTTACTGTTCCATGGGTGTAGGGAAGGAAGGTATTCAATTTGTGTTTGTGGAATAAATGAATGCTTGGACCAGTCGGTGGTGGCACACACCTTTAATCTCAGCAGAGGCAGAGGCAGGCAGATCTGAGTTCGAGACCAGCCTGGTCTACTAAGTGAGTTCTAGGACAGCCAGGGCTACACAGAGAAACCCTGTCCTGAAAACAAACAAACAAAACCAAAGGACTAAGGGCTTGGTTTGGCTCTTGGGCAAGCTGAAGCACCCAGCTTATCAGTTGAGCTTGCTTGATGTTTACCAGTTTGGAGTTATCAGTCCCTCCAGGCTCTGGCTTCCTTAGTGAGTCTTCCTTTAGTAGATCTGAGGAACTGTCCCTTATCCTGAGAGAGGCATGGTGTTCAGCCACTTTGTCTGCAAGCTCCTGCCCACTCAGTCCTAACAGGAGGTTTGGTCTGAACAAGTGGGCTGTGATGGGCAGCTTCAGAGTGTCCTCCTCAGGGCAGCACTCTGGAGAGGGGGCTCTTTTGCTGTTTTGGCCTTTTTTTGTCAGGATTGAGGTGACCATGGGGACTCTGCTGTTCCTTTCCTCCACCTGGCCCCAGGCAGAAGGGCGGAGCAGGTGCCGAGGCATCTGTTCTTTTATGTCTTTCTCTCTTGGCAATGCTGGGTCTTGAGCCCAGGGCTGTGTATAAACGGGATAAGCCCCCCCCCACGTGCATGTCTACATTGACAGTCCTTGCAGTTGGAATGTGTCTGTAGTCTCTTTGTTTATGCTGCTTACTGAGGATCACAGGGTTCCCTCTGACAATTCAGTTTTGTTTTCCTGAAACTCTCGTCACTTCTCAGCTTGTCTGCCTGCCTGCCTGCCTGCAGGCGGAGGTC